TCTTTTTCTTTTCATTTGGAACCTTAAGTGGATATTAGAGGCTTGGAAGGAGATCATATCTGGCAGGATATGCTGGAAAAGTTTTTGACAGTGGGGAATGATAACAAAGGCTTCAAACCTGAGATCTCAGCCTAATATATTTAATTGGTTTAAGTAAAGCAAGACTTTAACCTAATATATTTATTTGTAAAGCCTGCTCATACTTTTTATCAAAGGGTTCATGCAAGTGCCTAGAAGTTTTTCAACCCATCGAATGTTGCCTTTTGTATCTAAAACAAAATGCTCTCAATATGTTGACAAATGTATAGAATCCTTTTTGGCATTTAACCATTGGATGAATTTTATCTGCTGCACCATAGAGACAAATCAGAGCATACTCCTTATGACTATGAAATAAAATGAAAATTTTCTTTTTTTTCTGCATGAAGTGAGAAATTTAATTTTCGAGCAACAACTTTTTGTGAAAAAACTATTACCTTCTAGTGGTTTGTTTGGACCTAAACACAGCAATTTGTGCAGAGTGTTCACCTTTGTTTTGTCTACTCCAAAGTGTATTTATATCTTCTCCTGACTTTAGGCATATGCTGTATTTCTGTTTTGACTGGAAAGATGCTTTAGTTAATGACTAGTTTACACATATCTTATGATGAATTAAATGCACAATTTGTAACTGCAGCTTCAGTTTGTCCGGCATCTCTCAATTAGCTACAATATGGTGAAGGAAAGATCAAAAAAGGAGGATCCTGATTTGGATGAACCCAGTGTGTAAGTATTTATATGGGCTTCTATTTTTTTCAACAGCATGGATGCAGTTGAGCATATATATATATATATATATATATATATATATATATATATATATATATATATATATTACCTTCTTTCCCAATTGGGGGTGCCTACAAGTACATCTAGGCGCTGATCCATTTTTCAATTTCATGTTTTTGTCTATAAGCATTCATACATGAGAGCATCCGTTCTCATCCTTGAAAATGTTGTTTAACTCAAATTAGTCTATTTTCTTGTAAAAATAAAATTTACAACCTGGCAGTGATTATTGGTAGTAAACTTGTAGTAATTCATAGGAGAGGAAATCTTGATGCTTCCTTTGTTCAATTGTACTTTGTGAAATTCTGGAGTGAATCTCAGGTGCAATTTTCAGCCTGCTGACCAGCAGTGTAAACTGTTCATATCTGGATACTGTCATTGGGACAACCTAAACCTTTTCTAGATGATGTGTTTAGCCTCTAGTGTGTATACAACATCATTGTTGTTTACCCTTCCAGATCCATGTAATTGTGGAATTCAATTAAATCTTCACCTTTGAAATGACAGAAAACGTTCATATCAAACCGACCTCAGAGGAACCTTTTGTTCTTTTTTCCTTTTTCCCATCATCAGGTTGGGAGCATCCAGAGCAAATGGTACACTAGTTTCTTATTATGATTTTGAGTGTGGTGTGTGTGTGTTTTTTTAAAGTATTCCAGCATTTGATAAATTTTCTATTTAAACCATTATGGTTACAAGCTGGATTGATTTTTCTGGTGCAACGTGCGTCATGCAGATCAGAAGACTTCAAAGACAGACAATTGTATAGTGAACAGGACATCAGTTGTAATGAAAGGGATCTCGAGGACCAAGAAGGTGTTTATGGTGATGATGACAAGGATAGTGGACTTTTCACGAATTGCCGATACAAGTTGCTCCATTTGTTTAAAGGGTGGTTCTCATACCGTAAGCTTCCAAGTTCATATGTGAGAGTGGAAGAGAACAGTGTTGTATCAAGATTGTCGTTCAGTTCTTTAGGAAGTTTGGGAGATTCAGGGGCTTACATTGATGAGTATGATTCTGAACATGAGACTCAGAAGGCACAGTAACAGATGTCTATGTGTCTCTGGAATCTTCAACATCAGGAGCAACACATTCATATCAAACTGGTGGAGCTCCAGTAAATAAAAGTCCTATCATCTCACCTTATAAAGAACATGTCTTGACTCACATGTCTGAGAAGGTGATAGAATTTAATTATCATGGAGGCTGGGTCAACATCGTCCAAGATGTTATAAGTGATGTCAACGACGCAAAGCGAATATCATGATTCAAGTTTGGCATCTCTTTGTATCACAGCTTCTTCCTCTGAAGTGATTGCTGAATTGAATATTGGGCTTGATAACTGTAGGGTTCTCTTCATTCCGGTGCCGTTCTTCTGTTGATGGTCCATTTTCTCTCAGCCTGCGGCAAGTCGAAGAAGCTAATCTGAGTTAGGACACAGAGCAATGAATTAGGAATTGCATTTTGGCCATGTTGTTGTAGTGCAACTGAAGCAATCCTTTTCTTTCTTTTTTCTTTGTTTTTTGCGCAACAGAGCTGCACGACTATAATTTGATCGGCTACCTCAAGGGGCGTGGACTAAATTAGGAATAGTCCAACGTACTCTCTGGCAAGTAAGCCGAGTCATGCAATCAAGTGTTGGGGGAAGTGCAGAAGCACCAAGGATTAACCTGACTTGGTTTCCAGTAATCTTTGTTTTCACTTCACAATCATATTGTAGACATTTGGTTCTGCTTTTGATTTTATTACACCATTTCAGGAGACTTTCTGGCTGCTCTAAATTGGAGAAATGGAAATGGTTGCAGATATTAGAACTGAAAATGCTTTTTAAGTCGACCTTAATTTGATTTGCCTGCTTGTACATATTTTGTTCCATCCATCTGTTCGAAGCACCTGCTGGAAAACAGGCAAGAAGCCGAGAGAGGTGGCATGGAATGAGATAGCCTTTCTGAGATCTCCCTCTTCCCCTTCTCAATGCCCACCAAGAAAAATTACTGAAAAATAAGAAAGGAAAAAAAATCCAAAAGCCCACCCCACCGCCGTAGCAGAAACATAGAACTCAGCACGCAACACATAATACTGCAACTAACAGAAGAGGAAGAAGGCGAAGCAGAGCTGCCATGGCCAACATGATCATGGCCTCCTCCAAAGCCCTAATCACTTGCTCTTCAACCATTCCCCCCACCCCTAAACTCAAGCTCTCCCCAGTTCAACTATCTTTCCCTAAACTACCCCTTTCCAATGTCCCCAAGCCTCACCAACTCCTGTCCCTTCCGAACTCCATTTCTGTAATTCTTGCAGCCTCCCTGGCCATGGCACCCCCTTCCCTAGCTGCGGAAATCGAAAAGGCCGCGCTTTTCGACTTCAACTTAACACTCCCCATCATAGCAGCGGAGTTCTTGCTCCTCATGGTCGCCCTTGACAAGATTTACTTCACGCCATTAGGCAAATTCATGGACGAAAGGGATGCAGCCATCAGGGAGAAGCTGAGCAGCGTCAAGGACACTTCTGGGGAGGTGAAACAGCTTGAAGCCCAAGCCGCCGCCATCATGAGAGCTGCCAGGGCTGAGATATCGGCTGCCCTGAACAAGATGAAGAAGGAGACTCAGCTGGAAGTGGAGCAGAAGTTGGCTGAGGGGAGAAAGAAAGTGGAAGCTGAGTTGCAAGAAGCCTTGGCTAGTTTGGAAAAGCAAAAAGAAGACACCATTAGGGCTCTTGATTCTCAGATTGCTGCTCTTAGTGATGAGATTGTCAAGAAGGTCCTCCCTGCACGTTGAGATGGATTTTAGGCTCACTGGGTTTTGATTTGATCTTACAATCTGTACTTGTAATCCACGATGATGAGGTTAACTTGGGTTTTAGTGTGAAAATTCATTCTTCTTGATTTCGATACAATCGCCTTTCGTACTTGCGAGTTTTTGGCCTTTTAGCAGTTTTGACTCGCACTTCTGCTTACTTTTCTGCTTTTATTTTGAAGATTTTTTAAGTTAACGGTGAATCATGAACCCTCTCTTCCTTTCCCTCCTATTTCAATCATCCCACATTTCCATGCTGCACGCTCAGCGATGAATAAGCTTTGATACGTTTGCCACCTATGGCAATGGCTAATAGAAAGTAGCAATAGAAGACCAGTAAAAAGCTCTGCTATCAGTTTTATGTTGGTGCTGCATGAGCCCATCTACTGTATGCTGCAAATTTCAGAAACAATGGACAAAATGATCGCTGCAATGGTGGAAATAGTAGTGTAATAACCATTTTTTTTTTTTCAAAATAGCATCCTCCCATCATCCCTCCCTACATCCTTGAAATAAAACTTTGGAACTTAGAAAAACTGAATGAAACTTTCCAGTACATTTTCGCAGCGTATCGTTAAGCTTCCACCACTTCTGCTTGCATATCATTCGAACTCCGGATGATCATTCTCAATTTATGCTTTGTGCTTTTTGGAATTCAACTTTTCTGGGAATCATCTGAATCGTGGATGACCTTTAATTGTTGATTCAACTAATGCGCATTCTTCCTTGTATTTCCTAAATAGCGGACTCAATCTCATTTCTTTTCAATGTAAATGGGCAAGGTTCCATTTTCTAACAATATAATGGCTCAAAGCAGGTCCTAGTAGAACCAGTTCTGATTATCAAGAGTTTGAGAATTTTACATTAAAAAACTCTTGCTGGGCCGTCGAGTTCCTCTATAAGTTTGGATGAGCCTCTGTGGAATTATATACTGCCGTATGCTTTCTGAAAAAAATGAGAAACAACTATGGCAGAAGAAACAGTTGCTTCCATGGACTAGAGGCTGGTTTTTGCTGCTGTGCGTGTGAGGGTTCTGGACCTTGTGGAAGTAGCAGCTGGAAATTGAGGGGTGCTGCTTATTATATTACCCGGATGATTGGGTCCAGCAGCCAATCAAATGGGGTAATATAAAAGGAAATCTCCCAAATTAAATATGTATAGTTGTGCTTAGTTACAAAGTCAAATGGTTTGCCAGCCTCGATAATGGACAACCACCTTGGCCTCTTACTTCATCTACATTTTTTTTTTTTGTTTCTTATCATATTTCGGTTTCATCTGCATCATCAACTTCTTTCATCAATTAGCATTCTGGTCAACGAAGTAGAAACTGCCTCTAAGCATTCTGTGCGGCAACAAGGGAAGAGGGGATCGAGGATGACAGTGCACATTGTGTCCTTTGTGTTAAATCAGCTCTCAGTTTTGCTCCGAGACGAGGCAAAATTATTGGGCGGGCTTGCGCAAGAGATCCAGCTCATCATGGATGAACTGGGGCATATGAAAGCTTTCTTAAAATTTGCAGAAGCTAAAGAAGAAGATGATCCAAGACTTGAAGAGTGGGTTATGCAAGTGCAGGACGTTGCTTACGATGTTCAGGACATTGTTGAAGAATTTATGCTCCGGTTTGGTTGCAATCACGGACATGGGTTTCATGGTCATGCTCGAAAGATAATCACCTCAGTAGGGATTGCTTTTGAGGTACAAAGCATCAGGTCCCGAATCACGGGTATTTCTGAAGGTCACAAGAGATACCAATCTGAATATGGTACCTATGGCAACGTCTCAGCTTCTGATCCTGGGAACAATTCGTGGCAATGTAATAGAGATGAGGCCCTTCTTGTGGAAGAAGCAAAGTTGGTGGGCATTGACTCCCCCAAGCAGCAACTCATTTGTCAACTCCTTGACGGCTGTTCTGAGCTCAAAGTTGTTTCAGTTTTAGGCATGGGAGGGATTGGGAAAACTACACTGGTGAAAAAGGTCCAAGAAGATGCAAATGTCAAAAGACAGTTCGAGATCCTTGCCTGGGCAACTGTCTCACAAACCTGTTATATGGAGGAGTTTCTCAAAGACCTGATTCAACAATTATACCAAGGAACAGGGAAACCTGTTCCTCAAGAAGCTGCCTCCATGAATAATACTGATAGGCTAAAAGCAATTGTCAAAGATTTCCTCAGAGTAAAGAGGTATCTAATAGTGTTTGATGATGTCTGGGATGTGAGATTCTGGGATGTCATCAAATTTGCATTACCTGAAGGTTGTTGTGGTAGTCGCGTAATGCTCACTACACGAATAGCTGATGTAGCTTATGCCTCTGATGTAGAATTTCATAGCTATGTCCACAGAATGCAGCCCTTGTCATCTGAAGCGTCTTGGAATCTGTTCTGTAAGAAGACATTCAAGAACAGTAGCTGCCCTGACTGTCTAAAAGATGTCGCAAAACGCATATTGAGAAAATGTGAGGGATTACCACTTGCCATTGTTGCAATTGGCGGAGTTTTGGCTTTGAAAGACAAAAGCAAAGTAGATGAATGGAAGATAGTTGAACGTAGCCTACTGGATTGTAGTGATAAGCTGGATAGAGTTGAAAAAATACTCTCTCTTAGCTATCATGATCTGCCCTACCATCTCAGGACCTGTTTTTTGTATGCAAGTATTTTCCCTGAGGATTATCAAATAGAAGAGGCACGATTAATTCGATTATGGATTGCAGAAGGATTCATACAAGGGAGGACAAGGATGAGTCAATATGAAGTGGCTCGAGCCTACCTAAGTGAGCTTACCAATAGAAGCTTAATCCAACAGAGAGATGATTCTTATGATGGCAGCACCAGAGCCTATCATATCCATGACCTTTTCCGAGAAATTATTGTCTCCAAGTCAAGCAAACAACAATTTGCAACCACAGCCACGGGAGAACTGACAAGTTGGCCTAAGAAGGTTCGACGCCTAGTGATTCATGATTTCACTGGCCACACACATCGAAGCATTTGTTTTAAGTATCTGCGCTCTTTGGTAACCTTCAAATCATCGGAACCTTCGTCCAAATCCTTGCTGTCCAAGCTCTTACGTGGTGGTTGTAGGCTACTGAAGGTATTAGATTTGGAAGGTGCAGAATTGGAGGAATTGCCAGACGAAATCTTCAAGCTGTATCATCTCAAGTTTTTGAGCCTAAAACACACAAGAGTTAAAATCATTCCAAAGTCCATTGGACGTCTCCGGAATCTGGAGTATCTGGATCTATCTTTCACTGCTGTAAGTGAGTTACCTGAGGAAATGCTACATATAAGAGGACTCCTCCATCTCGTGGCATATGCATTTCAACAAGTTACGTACAAATACGACATCAACGGATTTAAAGCTCCAAACAACATTGGGAGGCTTCTTTCTCTGGAGTGGTTATTTTACATAGAAGCGAATGACACATCAATGATGAGAGAGATAGGAGAGCTTAAGCAATTGAGGAGGCTAGGCATTACAAGTCTAAGAAGAGAAAATGGAAAGGAGCTCTGCTCCTCTCTTGGGAGGCTCTCCAATCTTGAGCAACTATATGTTCAAGTATCACATAAGGATGAGGTAATTGATCTAAATTACATGAACAGCTCCTTGAGTTCAAGTCTTGAAAATCTTCAAATGTTATGCTTGAGGGGCCGTTTAGAAAAGGTACCCAAATTTATATGTTCTTTACAAGGCTTGACCTCAATAGAGTTGCTCTGGAGCGACTTAATTGATGATCCACTTGAATCCCTTCAGCATTTGCCAAATCTGCAAACAATGGATCTGAATGAGGCATACCAAGGAGAGGTTTTGTGTTTCAAGGCTGGAAGCTTTCCGAAGCTTGAGCAGTTAAACATTCTTGCTTTAAGCGGTTTGAGATGGTTGAGTGTGGAGGCAGGTGCCATGCCTAATCTCCTAGAACTAGGATTGGCGAACCTTAAATTCATGGAGGAGTTCCCTCGGGGGATCCAGCACTTGACCAATCTCCAATCTCTATATCTGTGTCATCCCAATGAAAAATTGGATGCATTTCTGAATAATCCATTTGAAGATTACCAAAGGATAAGTCACATCCCTGAGATATTCATTTGGGATGATGAGGTTGGATTGTGTCGACACCCCCAGTTCAGGCAGTAGCATGCAGCTGTATCAGCCACAGCTTGCATCCTCCACTCACTGTCTCTGTAAGTAATCCTCAAGTCAAGTTGTATGATCTTATACTGCAATTATAATAAACTAGAAACTACTATTGTCCATCTAGTGCAGGTCCAGTTACAATGTCATTTATCCAACACTCAATGGAGTACAAGAATTTGTTCAGTTATCTGCGTCCTAGTTTGCTAGTGATGTTATTTGGGTAGCTATTATTATGTTTGTTAGTTCGAAATCTCAGCTTTGTATATTCAATTCAAACCACTTAGCAGGATGATCAAGTTTTCCCTGAGTTACCATATTGGTCTTTGACTCTAATGAAGCAACTAACTGAAAATGCCAGTTAATACTGCAAAATTTACAAGAAGCACTTTGTACTATTACCTAGGAAAAATCTAAAAGCCCAGAAATCGTCAATTAACTTTTTTTCCTCCTTATCTTGTAGCTTTGTGCTTTTCATCTGATCTTGTGGGATTGTTTTGAACAATGAAGAGGATCCAATTGTCAATCAGCTGTCGAGAAAATCAGATTTAAGGCCTCAGCAAGGAAGAGATTCAGCTGCGAGTCTAGCAAAAGCTGGCTGAGGTAGAAGAAAGTAAAACTAAACTAAGAGTTGAAGAAGGCCTTGGCTAATTTTTCAAGAGCAGAAGGTAGACACCATTGTCAAGGCTCTTGATTCTCAGACTGGTTCTCTCAGTGATGAGATTGTCCACAATTCCTCCCTTTTCATTGATTGCTTATGAATGGATGGACTTTCAACTTTATGAATTTTGGTGTCTCCTGGGGATAATACACACTTCTTCAGCATTTGTGCTGGTGGCTCTCTTCCGGTTTCCTGCCTGCATATCATATTATTAACGCTGTCCCATTTCTTCAGCTTCATTAGCTTTCTGCATTTAGTTTAACTTTGCGTGCGATTGATCTGAATCATCATGAACAACATGAATTTCTTGATTCAGCTGTCTAGATTTTGTCACCACTTAATGCAAATCAATACCATTATCTACTGTTGTCCATTAGTGACTTAGTAGTGTGTACTCTGAAATGCATGTTTGCTCTGTTCCCCTCTACGTAGAAGCAAAACTGGTTTATTCGTTTAGGTATTGAAGATCAGTGGCTGAGAAGGCCTAAATTTAGTAGTTATGGTCGAGACCCCAGCTCCTGAATTCAGATTATCATTTCTTCTCCTCGTTTCTTAAATCTCATCCTTCCTCAGCTAGGAAAAAGCCACAAACAAACATTTATTCAAAAAATAAATAAATATGTGGATAGCATCGGTGACTAGAATTTGCTTTTTTTTTTTTTATTGAAAGAATTAGCTATTGCAAGAAACATAATGTAATTTACTGTGAAGTTAGAGCTGTTAAACGAACCGAACTGTTTGGTAGCTCGGTTCATTTTGACACGTTCGTGTTCGTGAAAGACTCGTTCGAAACTTTAAACGAATCGAGTTCGAATACATTTTTTTGTTCGATTAATAATCGAGCAAATATGAGCATGTTCGAGAGTTTTAACGAACGTTCGCGAACATGGGCATTATTATCATTTGACAAATTTTAGGGTTAATTTTATGGCTAGACTTTTATATTTGGAGGATATAATTTATTATTTTTATGTTAATATTAGTTATATAGTTAATGAATAATAGAATTTAGTCACTTAGTGTTTTAATTATTTTTTAGAATGATTAATAATTTGTATGACAAACATGAGATACTCGATTCGATTCAACTTATTTACAGTTCTACGTGCAGTCCTCCACCCAATGCCAGCTTTTAATTTATTTCATTGGCAAAATCTAGCCAGCAGAACGGTATAAACTAACTGGGCCTGTTGGTCTGAACTTTCAGTTTCTATTTACTTTTACGCCCTTCAAATCTTATCATGTTTCTTTAACTTCACCACTAGTTTAGCTCACTCTCTTAATATTTTCTTGTCACATTTTTTGTTTAAGACTTTGATGCAATTTATGTTGTTCCATTTATGCATGCACGTACAAAAAATTCAGACGCCCTTTTTTTTTGTTATATGTCAAGGAATTAATTATTATTCAGTTACTGCAAATTTTTTTTACCGACAAAGAAGGAAATCATATGAATTGCCAAAATACCCAATTCAATTTGCAACCATTCACTATTTCAAGGTCAAAGACATATAGTACCATTTTTTTTTTTGGTACTACTTTGCTTATCTTATAAATAATATCGCTAACCTCGTTGTTTTTTTTTTGGTCACATTTCGTAGCTAATAATTCACTTTGGTTTATTTAATTTTTATGCAGTATAATTTGCACAATACTAGGTTATAATATCTCGACATTCAAAGAATTAGAGGTTTTGCATTCAAATTTTCTTTTCACTTCTCCGCTTCTTAAAATACAAAGAATTCAGAACAAATATAAAAGGTTTGAATATTCGAAGGAATACTCAAAATTTGACAAGTTCGACAAGGACCTAGCATATGTGACAAATGTTAAGGGGACCAAAGAAAACTACTTAGTTTTTTTTCTTTACAATAAACTATTCTAGTTGGATGTTTTCTCTGCAAAGAAATTTGTTGGGAGAGAAAAAAAAAATAGCATAAGTATAAATACAAGAAAGTAACGTAATTCTAAGAGTATAAACGACGTATACGGTCCGAAACAGCATAACTCTGGTGGTGACACCAATACACTCCCCTTCCCAAAGGTGACGCCTTCACACGTTTCCTAATTTTTCTTCTTCTTCATCTTCTTCTAAATTGTAGTGCTACTAATGAGGACTTAACTAATTTCTTTAACAAATTCTACTCATTTTTTAAATATACTGATGGTGATATTTATACTCTCTAACTTGGGCACTCAAACAATAGGTCTCTTTATTTCTCGTTTCTCCTCTCTCTCTTTAGTCAGAATAATTTTTTTTTTCTTTAGTAGAATATTTATTAACATTGGGGACCTTTTTTTCTTTTTGGGTTTTGTTCTTTTAACAGCCCCAGATGATGCTGTGATCATTCTTGGCTGATGCTCTCTCAACCCTTCACTTAATTCGTCGAAATTTCACCTTTGGCCCCTTCATTTTCAGTTGCAAATTCTACTACTTCACCGTACAAGTAAGCCTTGTATGTGTTTTTTTTTTTTTTTTTGGGCTAATTTGTGACTTGATGTACGTTGCTGAGGATGATTGTGAAAAGGAACGAACTTTAATCACAGGCTTTTGGTAAACAGTATAAAGTTGTAAATTTTAGTTTGTTATGGTTTCTGGGGAGTTTTTTTCCTTCTTGTTTTTAACTTGATGAGAAGTTGATATTTTTAGTCTTGATATTTATTTTCGTTGTAGGGTTAAAATTATAGGGTGTGAACCATCTGTTTGATTTTTTTTAAAGGCGTAAACAAAGAGGATTTTGTGATCGTGATTTGTTGCCTCCATTAGCAGTCAAGTTGTGGCTTGGATTTAGAACTTTGAGCTTGATAGCTGAAACAAATCATTGTAATAGATGAGTTATGCAACCCACTGCTAAAGAAAATCAAAACAATCGAAATTTCAGCATCTGTTAACTTTTACTAGTAAAAATGTCAGTTTGACGGTGCCCATGTCATGAACTGGTATAAAGTCTTACCTGCATTTAGAATGAATGAAACAACCCCCTGTTAGTGGGTCTGTCACTCTGTCTGAATAGTGAATACAGTTTTGGGTTCTCTTACCTCATATGTATCTTACTTTTGTTTTGTACATGAGGACGAAAAGAACCAGAATTTTGGGTTCAATATCAGCTGAAAGAGATATATATAAATATTTGTTGGTTATAGGGGATGGCTGGAAAGATTGCTGCTAGTCAAGTGACATCATCCTTTGACTTTGAGCTTGTTGGAGATGATTCTGATCAACTCACAACTGTCATTGCATCATCCAGTCAGATTAGCCCATGGATTGATCCTTCAAAGATTAAGCTTCGACATAGAATTGGAAGGGGTCCCTTTGGTGACGTTTGGTTAGCAACTCGTCATCAAGCAACTGAAGAATACGAAGAGTATCATGAGGTTGCTGTTAAGATGCTGCATCCAATAAAAGAAGATGCCATTAATGTTGTATTGCATAAGTTGGATGATTTGTTCTCCAAGTGTCAAGAATTAGAATCTGTTTGTAGGATGCAAGGTCTCTCTATGATAAGTGGAAAGGTAATATTGATGTTCCAGTTTAGAGTTAGTGGCCAGAAGTTTTTCTGAATTTACTGATAATCTACACGTGTTCTTCCAGTTATGCATTGTTATGAAGTTCTACGAAGGCTCGATTGGTGATAAGATGTCCCACTGTAAAGGTGGAAAGCTCTCACTGCATGATGTTTTAAGGTGACATATACTTGGTATTATGTGGAAAAGTCAGCTGTTATGGACTTCTTTTCCTTTGATAACTGGTAACCTGTCAAATAGAAATTGTCATGTGTTTTTGTTGTTATTGCACAGGTATGGAACTGATCTGGCACATGGATTAATGGAGCTGCATTCAAAAGAGATCCTAATTCTCAACCTTAAACCTTTCAATTTTCTACTGAACGAAAATAACCATGCTATACTAGGCGATGTTGGAATTCCTTATGTACTGCTTGGAATTCCATTGCTGAGTTTGGAGATGACTCGAAGACTTGGTACTCCAAACTACATGGCACCTGAGCAGTGGCAGCCAGAAGTTAGAGGTCCAATATCATTTGAGACTGACTCATGGGGATTTGCATGCAGCATCGTGGAGATGTTGACTGGTGTGCAACCTTGGAGTGGTAAATCAGTTGATGAAATTTACAGATCTGTTGTGAGAAGGCAAGAAAAACCACATATTCCTGTTGGTCTTCCTCCTTCTGTTCAGAATATCATTAGTGGTTGTTTTGAGTATGATTTGAGGAGTCGTCCTCTAATGGAAGACATACTGAATGCATTCAAAA